TTTGTCCTAACTGTCCTCCAATGGCGAAGTCGGAGGCATCTGTCTCGACTTCCATGGGTTTTTCGGGGTCTATCATTCGGAGGACTGGTTCGCTGAGGACGGCATCGATAATTTGGCGAAATGCCTTTTCTTGGGGTTCGTTCCATGCGAACTCTATTTCCTTGACCGTGAGGCTCGTCAAAGGATTGGCAGTCTTGCTGTATCCTTTTAGGAATCGTCGGTAGAAGTTGACGAAACCGAGGAATGCTCTGACGTCCTTGACGTTCTTTGGTGTAGGCCATTCCCTGATGGCTGCCACTTTGGATTTTTCCATCCTGATTTCTCCTGGGGTGATCGTATACCCTAGGAAATCTACTTCCTGTGTGTGGAACTTGGCTTTTTCTGGTTCTACTAACAGCTCGTGCTGGTGTAGTCGTGTGAGGACCTGGTGGACGTGTCCCTTGTGTTCTTCCATTGTCTTCGAGAAGATCAGAATGTCATCGAGATATACCACCACGAAGACGTCCAGGAATTCTCGCAGTACATCGTTGATCATGTTTTGGAAGGTTGCGGGAGCGTTGGTCAATCCGAATGGCATGACCAAGTACTCGTAGTGTCCTCGTCGTGTTCGGAATGCCGTTTTCCATTCCTCTCCATCCTTGATGCGGATGAGGTTATATGCTCCTTTGAGATCGAGCGCTGTGAACCAATTGGCTCCTGCTAATGCGTCCCTGAGTTCTGATATCAGAGGCAATGGGTAGCAGTTCTTGATGGTAATGTCGTTCAACTGTCTGTAGTCGACGCATAGTCTTTCCTTGCCATTCTTCTTTGGCACAAAGAGAATCGGGTATCCTGCTGGGGATGTCGATGGTCGGATGTATCCTTTTCTGAGGTTCTCCTTGAGATACTCGTCGAGAGTATCCATCTGTCGAGGGTTCAATCCGTAGATCTTGTTGAATCGGGGGCTCTCCCCTTCCTTGATTGGGATTTCGTGGTCGTAGTGTGTGTGCTTAGGTAGCACCGTGTCGACTTCTTCCCTGAAGATCTTTTCGTACTTCCAGTATTCCTTGGGTACGTTCTGCAGTCTTTCTTGCTGTTCTGTTGTGAGCTCCTCCGGGGTTGTCTCCTCTGAGTTGTCCCTATTCGTGAGGGCTAGTTGGAGGTCGCTTGAGAGACCGCTCGTGGGTCTTTCCTCAGGGGCTGACGTACTCCACTGGACGCGGCCAGCTGTCCAGTCAATCTGAGGGTTCCATTGTCTGAGCCATGGGATGCCTAGGATGATTTGTTTTCCTCCCATGTTGGTGATGTCGAAGGTTATGTGACCTTGACGGCGAGAGATGAACACCTGGAGGGGCGCAGTCTCCGTGTTCACGATCCCTCCTCCGTATGAGACCGCTTGTCCTTCCACCGTGCTGAGTTGATAGGGTTCCTCCTTATATTTCCATGTGATCTTATTCTTGTTGATGTATTCGGGGCTCATGTAGTTGCCCTGGGCGCCGCTGTCTAGTAGCGCGCTTGCCCATCGTCCTCCTACGTTTATTCTCACGTAGAGGTGATTCGTGCCGTGGGTTCGTTCGGCTGAGCAGATCGCTCTTACTTCCTTCGTCGGTCGTTGTCCCTGTCCGACCGACGCTTGCCTTTTCCCGAAGGCGGCGGCGTGGTAGGTGGCCACGTTGTGTTTAGATTGCTTGGGTCGAGGTTGTCGTCGTCCTTATAATGGACCCTGAAGAGTGGCTTCTTGACGTGTTTCATACGGTGAAGCCTCCAATCTCTGGCCTTGGCCATATAGTGCTTTATGCACGCGTCATTATCGCAGTCCTCCCATCTGGCATGGTCTTGGTAGCATTTGTCGTGATAAGCGGGGTCTGGTCGGAACGTGAGCCGACCTTGACTGTATTCGTCCATGTGTAGGATCCATTTGCGACTTTCCTGTTCGAACTCTACCGTTACTCGTGGCTCGGTCCAGTGGTTGCGCGGGAGAAACCGGTGCGCGGCTTTCTCTTTGAAATGATATTCGCAGTCGTCGTAGACACATTCGGGCCAAAACAACTGATAGTGTTGTTCGTGGGCGTGGTGGAGTGCTGGATGGTCTCCTACCATGAGTCGTACGTTTTCTTTCGTGCTTTCTTGCTTTCGGGCGCTGGCCTTCCATGGCTTGGTCCCGTAGTAGATGAGTTCGTCCCACGGTACAAGGGGATCGTAATCCTCACTAGGGTTGCTAACGGCGTAGGTCTGTGTTGGGATGTGGAGTTGAAGTTGTCCCAACGGGGGTTCCTCCTCCTGGCTTGCTTGCGTGTATTCGTCCCATTCCTCGTTGCTCATAAGTCCAACGTGGAGTGCGGCCTGTGGTTCCGGGTGAGCTTGTTCATAAGCCCTTTCTTCGTCTGTATCGATTTCCTGGGTCTCCGGCGTTACTTGCTGGGCCCATTTCTGAATTCGTCTTTCCTTCCTGGTGGTGACCATCATGGCCAGGGTTCTTTGTCCCGTAGGTGCCCTGGGGAACCATCCATTCTGTTCCTTACTGTCTTTGTGGGTCAGGCAATCGTCCTGGTAACAGAAGGTCCAGTTAGTTTTGGCATGGTCCTGGTGTTGAGTATGGTTGAGCTGTCGTTCGTTTACGGGTTTCCAGGGCTTCTTAGGTTGCCGGCATTCTCGAGCCATATGCCCGTTTTTGCCGCAGTTGTAGCATTTCATGTCCTTGAGATCCTTCGGTTTGCCATGTCTGGTATTGTCGAGCTCCATGGGTCCTGCATGGGTGGTCTGTCCCCAAGCCGTGCTGACGCGGGGTTTGTCGTGCTGGTACTTGCGTCCTTGATTGGATCGGTGGTGGGGAATGCGAGGGTTCCATGGTCCTATAGCGGGCTTTCGTCCCTTTTCTATTCTGCGTTCGTACTGGCGATCGTCGATTTTGACGGCCATGGCGATGTACTCGGTGAGGGTTTCGGGTCTATCCTCCCGGATGAGGTCGTCCTTGACGGCGTCTTTGAGTCCTTCGTAGAAACGGGCCATGAGAGCGGACTCTGTCCAATCGAGTCGACTGGCTAAGAGTCGAAACTCCGTGGCGTACTTAGTGGCTGGCCCGGTCTGTTTGAGCTGAAGGATTTTTCTTTCGTTTTGTCGTTCCTCGTCCACGTCCCCAAACGCTCCTTTAATGGCTTCTTCGAATGCGTTCATACCTGCGTAGATGTCCTGGGTGGCCTGCTTCATATCTTCTTTCTTGGTGTGGGTGGAATAGTCCCTAATGAAGGGTTCGAACCAGTGCAAGGCGTCCCCTTTGAGGTAAGAGGAGGCGTTGGCGACCTTCTCGCCCCAGTACTTAAGTTGGCCCTCATTGGCTTTGTGGTACTGGCGTACCTGGGTGATGAAAGACTGAAGTGCCCTAGGGTTGCCGTCGAATGACTGAGGGGGAAGAGCCTTCATGCTCGTTCCGCCTTGAAGTTGTTGCATTGAGGCTCGGAGCTGTTCGTTCTCCGAACGGAGCTCCTGGATCATAGCGGCCAAGTTGCTGGCGCTGTTTCCGACGCTGTTGGTGGACATTGTTCCTGTGGTAAGTATTGCTCAGTGTCACAAGGTAAACCTACTGAACAAGAGTGATCAAAATGTTACGACCTGGCAGCTTCCGAAGGGGGAACACTGTCAGAGGGTTAGGGTTGCTGTTTGCAGAAGCTTAGGTTGTGACTCTGAGACGATGTGGTGTCGTAAGGCGTTGCGCACTCGTTACAATGGATACAAGGTAAGACTTAGATTGATCACTGTCGTGAGAAAGAATGTATCTACAAGTACCGAATGCCCGTCCTTATATACCTGTCATTCTGTCCTTGTCGTGTTGGGTTGGTGAGTCCATGTTGGATGGCTCACCTTTCTTGTCGTGATCCTGTTGCTTGGGTCACGGTGTGGTTAGTGACCGGATCACTTTGAGAATCGTGATCTGGTCACGGTCACGTGAGTGATCCTGTGGGTCCGTGCGGCGCGTCCGATCGCCTGCGGGGTGTCCTGCCTGGTGTCCTGGTGACGACCGGGCTGGGGCGTTACACTTAAATAGGCCTAATAAGAATACTTTACGCTATAGGAATTAATACGCTATATCAACGCGCTATATTAACGACCGTATAGATATAGTATCTCGAGGAGAAATCTATTTAGATATATAAAAGCCGTTATCGGTCTAATATATAGAGGTCTTCCGGTTACTAGTATATCTATAATAATATTAATATAGATTTCCTGCCCTAAGCACTATTAGCATTAGATAGTTAACTCTTTTCACTACCACGAATGTGGCCCCAAGTGAGGTCCTGATAGCACGCTTATATACTAAGCTAAAGTCGAGATATATATAAAGGTATAGAGCTAGGATAGCTATTAGGACGATAAGCTATAATATCTATTTATCGAATAGCCTAGTACGGAAATACGGGGTTTTCCTAGTCTCCCTTACACCTATAAGACTATCAAAGTCTTTAGTCGTGACCCCTCAAAGATAAACGATTCGTCTCGGCCATGGCAATATTCAACTATAGTGCGAATATGTGGTGATGTCGGAGTCGGCCATGGTCGCGTTCTTGTTGCGTACTATCGTCGAGGTCAACCAGGCGGATTGGGATGACTTGCTTCAGCTGGAGGCGATTTCTCCAGGTGTTGTGCCTCCAAATGTTCCGAAGGTTTCAGTCTAGAAGTAAGCCGCCTGCCAAAGGTTCCTACCTAGGTACCTAGGAAAACGCCGTGTAACGCCACCGTGAAGGCAACCCAGTTTGCAGACAGAGCTGGCAATGGTGAATAAGTGCACACAGGCGCACACATGAGCCACGCAGACTCTGAAAAGAAGTATATCGCTGAATGCTATGAAGAAACTCGTCGAGAGGCTCAAATCCAACACCGAAATCCGGGCTCCGACCAAAGATGGAATAGACATGTCGGCGCCGACAGAAGAACACAATCAGAACCTTGGCGCAACGCAGCCATCCATCCCCAGACCTATGTTCCTTCCCGAACCCTGCTTGGTCCTGTCGCACAACCCCTCTTTACCGCCCGAATTCCAGGTGCGGCACAATCACTGGCCCGTACTTTGTCGGTGCCGTGAAGGCTCCGTCGCCTTGCACGACAAAGTCAATTGCCAGACTCAACTTGTTGAGCCCCTGCTGCCCTCCGTTGATGACGGACCCAGCTGAGGAGAAGTTCGACGAGGCTACAGCCTCGGGATCGTAGGCTACGCAGGCAATATAGTTGCGACGGCCCATGAGTTTCTTCAGCTCGCGGGGGGAACCCGACGCATCGGTGTGAAAGATCTCCATCATGTCCTCCTTGGTGTCAGTCACCTCATGGTTGGACTTGTGGCCGTTTTGGGGCACGTAGAGAGACTTTTGGTTATGGAGCAGCTTGAGGATGTAGTTCTGAGCCGGTTGGGCGACGATAGGAGAGGTGATGATCTGGTACATCGTCTTGTGGTCGCTGGGGTGTGACGGGTCGTGAACGAGGCCGGCACCAGCGCAGCTGACATCTGATGAGAGTTAGCAGTGATCCATAGCGAATCAAGATGTGCACGAATTACCTCCAGACAAGAATGTCATGCGCACGCCCTTTTGCTGGGCAATGCCTTGCAAAGTTCGGATGAAATAGGTCCTCTCGAGGTCCTTGGTCTCATGCGTCCACATGTCCTTGAGCACCTCAGCGAGGTCGATCTCGCCGAACTGGTTCAGTACACTGCCCATGAGACCACCCTTTCCGACAGCCTTCTTCACCTGCGAGAAACCGGATGCGACGACTTCCTTGCCGCCGACTATACCAGCTACAGAGCTCGTCACCTTGCCGAGCACATTGTAACCAGAGTTGACCACCTTTTTGCCGGTTGTGACAGCTGTAGCCAAACTCTCCACGGCTTCCAAGCGCGGATAAACAAGAGGTACAGATACCAGCCATATACAGTGCTGTACGCTAGGAGGTAATGTGGCGACCTTGGGAAAGATGCCCTGGTATGTCGGGCCGGCCATAACGCGGCTCTGGTTTCTTTCCGACCGACAATCAGGTCCAACAACGACCACGGCCGGCCCAAGGTACTTGACAAAGTGCCAGCCTTGACCAGTGATAGTAAACAGGTCGAGATCGTTGCTGACGTTGCGGAGGATTTCAACAGTCGTGTGGTGCTGGAAGAGAAGATACATCTCAACGGCAATGCGGCCAACATTCTTGAACATTTGCGAGTCTTGCATATACGCGGGATACGACCCGTAGCCGTCAAAGCTGGGAAGGGTTAGGCCTAGCATCTGCAAGGGGTAGAAAGTAGTAGCTTACATATCGTGGTCGTCCACCTGCAGAACGTGAGGGATTTGGGCGAACGCCTCTCGCAGATACGGCTGGTCAAAGTGGCTTGTGTAGTAGTGAAAGTATGCATGGGAGACATCTTCCTCATGTCGTGCGGTCCAGGGTGCCTTCTTTCGGTTTTCCTTGCCGCTCATGGCGAGCCACTGCTTCAGCAACGGCACCTCTTTCCATAACCTGTCACCGTAGATCTGATCACCCAGGCCAAGCTGGACATGGAAGCCTCCGCAGTCAATGTTCTTCTGGAGGACATCCTTCCACATGAAACCGACGCCACCGAGCTTCGCCCTCTCGGCTTGGTTGGTTGTTGCAGCAAAGTCATTGTTGGAATGCGCAATGAACCTCCAGCCCGTCTCGTAACGGCCTGCAATGACGAATTCGTACCGCGTGCAGCCCAGGTGAGACGTGACGGCATACGTCCATCTCTGGGTGCCTCCTTCTCCCATTGGCAGCTCAATACTGTACTTGTAGAAGGACCATCGCTGGTGGGTGAAGATGTTGTGCGGCTGCAGTTGGTGCGGGTTCGGCGAAAGGTCCGCGCTCAAATGCAGGTGGATCGTGGGCGGTTGAGGCGCATCCGTCACAATGAGAATGCTTCCGAGCCACAACCCACGCTCGATATCCATGTTGCAGTAACGCAGATATGGCCCAAAATACACCCCGTTCGTCGGCTGAATCTTGAACATGTCCACTCCGGCGCTCGGAGGCGGTCCAGAAAAGCCGGCAGCAGATGGCGTCTGAGAAGCGGCAACGCTCATGATGCTCTCAGCATATCCCGGCGTCTGCGGTGAGAACATGGGCGACGCCATGGGCTGCTTGCCAAACATTGGGGAAGCGAGAGGATTGCCATAGGTGGAAGCTGTCGGCGACAGCGGGGCCGACTCATGGTGGATCGGGTTGGGACCCTTGGGAAACTCCCATTGCGTAGCCTGGCTCGCTAGGTGGATGTAGTAGTACTGACCCGAGTTCTGATCGAGATGAGCGATCCAGCCCTCGGGAAGGGGAGGCGGCGAGCTCGGGCCGGCTCCTCCCTGGAAGCCAGGAGTCACTGGCGTTTGAGCTTGCACGGGCTGGCCGTTTTGCAGCTGTTGAATCTGCGCTTGTTGGTGCGGCTGCTGCTGCTGTGCCTGCTGCGGCTGCTGCTGAAGTTGTTGAGGTTGCTGCTCGAGAGGTCTAGGATCGTTGGCGAAAGCAGGATGCCCGGGGTGTTGCAATGCGGGCGAGGCTAGCCCGGCCGCTTGAGGCCCGACGCTCGCGGGCTTCTTGGGAGGAGATTGCGCCGCACTGGATGAGGGAGCTGGCGTCGAGTTTGTACTTGTCGGTTGAGGACGCTGCTTCTCGGCAGGGTACGCGTTATTGCGGCCCGGGTTGACACTGGAGTATGCGGGCGGCGGGTCATTATGCCCAAGCCGCTGGAAGTCTTGCTCGAGGACGCTGACTTGCAGAGCCGGCTGGTCAGACTGCGCCGCTTGCTGGGGTGGCGGGCTGAAGGTGGGCTGGGTCGGACTCGCGACAGGGTTGGAGCCTTGGTACACGGTAGGAGGGCCATGGGGCTGGTTGTCGGGCGACTCGGTCGGCGTCCAAGGTCGCGCTGGGCCGCGGGGAGCACCGCCGTATTGCGCGAGTCTCTGGGAAGCGGCAGCACTCTGAGCATGCTGAGCTTGCAGGCTGGTCAAGGTGGCGGTGCCCGAGATGCCCGAGGCGGCGTAACGGGCCTCGATGCCTCCGCCGGGTATGACGCCAGGTTCGACAATCGGGGTTTCGGGCGGGGGAGGCGAGCCCCGGCTCGCGCGGGTTGTCGACGTTGAGGCGGTCGAGGCAAAGCGGTTGACGCTGTTCTCGCTGCTAGGCATCCTCAGTCTCTCGGGGTCTTGCGCAGGGCGCCCGTGAGACAGGTTGGAGGAGGAGCCGGAGGAGCTGGTGGTAGAGCCAGGGGCGGGGTAGTATGGCTTCTTTGTGTAGCTCGGATAATTCGTCGTAGCAGCGACCGGCGCGTGCTGTGCAGACGGCTTCAAAGGCTTCGCAAACAAGCCGCCCTCGTCACCGTCAGGACTGGCGGGATCTGTCAAAGGGCGGGGCGCTGTGCCACGCCTCTCAGCCAAGGTAGGGCTCTTGGTCTCGACGGGGCTGGTCAGACGAGGGCTCGTGTCGTTGTAGTCGGAGCCATAGCGTTTGGGGGCAGCAACGGTAGGTCTGACGGGCGGCGTGCTGGGCTTCAGATCGTCGTCCTCTGGGTACGGCAGCGGCGCAGCAGAGCTTGAGGCACCGGGGGGCAACGGGAAAGAGTGCTTGGATGCTGGGGTCAAAGACGAGGACGATGGCGGCGGCGGGTATCTGAAACGCTCTGATGATTGCTTTTCAGCAGGAGGGCTTTGAGGTTTGAAAATGCGCAGAGGTTCTACGGTAGGGCTGTCGCAGTTGTCCGAGTCGGCGGGCTTGCTGAGGAAGAGCTCCTCGTCGTGGGCACTGCGAGTACGCTCCATGATGAGAGCGGCGACGGGGCTGTGCCTGCTCACGAGTGTCTGACGCAGCTTGCGCAGGTACGCGGGCAAGGTGCAGCGCAGGATGCGATGCCGAGCTCAAAAAGAAAAGTTATTTATAGGAGCCTGGAGGCGGTCGCTTTTGCGGCCGGCCCAGGTGTCAGGTCTGATACTCGTGGTTGCGAACTGCGAGGCCGAAGCAGGGCGGGGAGAAGCGGGGTTTGTTGGAGTCGTGTCTGTCCC